CGTGATGCTTGTAAATGGATTGACTTGCATGTTTGCTAATTAGGAAGCCCACACCGCACCACATACGACTTGCCCGATACGAAGCTATCCCTATACCATACAACAAATATACACGACTGCCCTCCCACACTGCATTGCGCGATAATGAGGGCCTCTGTGGGATCTCACATTTCCTGGCGGTGGTACGCCGCCGTCGGAGTTCTGCTACCAGGCTGGATTGCCAGTGCTAGCCCAGCTGTGAACGTGGCGCTCCAAGCCTCCTTCGACTCGGCCCCATACCTCGTCGAGCTCCTGTACGTTACACATTGAGTGATCTCTCGCGTGGGGTAGGTTTTTCAACATGAGAAAGGCTAATGAATTCAACGCAGGGAGTCTGCCGCCGAAGAAAACTCCACCTCCTATTTTCCTTTGTTGGATCGCATCGCCGACGGGACGTTTGAGGATCTCACAACCGAGAAGGAGCTCTACGACCGCTTCTTGACAGTTGTGAAGGACGATGGTCACATACGGACTCCGGAGAGTCTTTCATCGTTCAAATTATCGCTTTCGGTCCGATCATCGGCGCCTCGTATTGAGGCGCACTTCCAGTTCTATAACACCTCGGTTCAGCAGTCCTTGATGGTGGCCCAAGATGCGGTATGTCCTGTATGGGTTCACTCGGAAGGAAAGCAGTATTGCTCCTCTGCCATGGAACGCCCACAGCAGGATGTTGTGGGAGAATTGTGGGTAGATCTTTGTTCACGTTGTATGGACTCTAACAGCTGACATTGAATTTGTGCCTCAGGGATCCTAGAGAGCTACCATTTGACCGAGTGCTGGGAGACACATCGCTCCCTCCGGCTGTTCTGTACGCAGATGTCGCCTCCCCGATGTTCAGAGGTTTCCATGAAATCCTGAGCGACATGGCAAAACAGGGACAGATCTCGTACCGTGTACGCTATCGACCTCCCCAACACTGGATTTCTCGTCCCTTGTTTGTATCTGGATACGGCGTGGAACTTGCTTTGAAGCGAACGGATTACATTGTTATTGATGACCGTGATGCGGAGCAGCTCGAAGCAAAGGGCGCTAAAAGTATTCCAACTGACCCGGATGAGACCAAGGACAACGCTCCGGATGACCTCCGGCCTCTGTCTTCCTCCGAAGTGACCCGCCTAGGCTTGAACTCTGTGAGCTACGTTATGGACAGTGCTGATCCTTTTGGGACATTGATCAAGATGTCCCAAAACTTTCCGAAGTATTCATCGGTAGTAGCCGCGCACAATTCCACTAGGGAAAGGGCGCAAGAGATACGCCACAACCGGTTAGGAATGCTCCCTGGGGGTTATAATGCCATGTGGATCAACGGTGTGCAAATGGATACACAGCAGATTGACGCATTCTCACTCCTAGAACATCTACGCCGAGAGAGGAAATTGATTGAGAAATTCCGGAGTCTGGGTCTCTCTGCGGATGATGTTGTGAAGTTACTGTCACACAGACTCCTTACTGAAGCCCAAGCTGGTGGCGAGGAGCAACGGTACGACTACCGGGATGATTTAGAAGGTAACCAGGTTATTATTTGGATGAACAATCTGGAGAAGGACTCTAGATACGAGTCCTGGCCTGGTGATCTCGAGGCGGTTAGTGCTTATTTCGTATGGCTATTGGACTGGATACATATTAACATAATTCTAGTACATCGCTGGTTCTTACCCAGGGCAATTGCCCCCGGTGAGCCGAGATTTGCACAATGTCGTCGTGTCTATGGACTCGTCTAACCCAGAACACATGATGCTTGTTGCTGGAAATCTGTACGCCTTCATCAAGCGAGGAATTCCTGTGAGATTCGGCTTGGTACCTACCACCTCGTCGCCAGAGTCAATTGCGCAGTTGAAGGTAGCGCATTACCTTTTCGACGCGTATGGCATAGAGTCGCTTGTGCAATACTTCGAAGAGTATGCCTCGAAAGGCAAAATGGGCTTCCCAGACAAATCGTCCTTCCAGTCTGCGACTAGAGGACGTGACCTCGTTGACGAACATGATGCTCTCTCTCTTGATCAAGTCTTGGAGAGCGAGAAGTACAATGCTCTAGTGTCCCAAACGGCTGCTTACCAGCGTCGGTTGAGTCTTACCGGCGACGCACTTCAATTCCTGGTGAACGGTATCCCTGTCTCGCGAGAAGGCAACTGGATGCAGGGAATGAGCATGCAGGTCAGCAGGGACTTGAAATTGATCCAGCAAGGCATTGTAGAGGGAGTTTTCGAGGAAGACGCATGGCTTCCGGACTTCTTGCTGGCTGGCGCATTCGAGAGACGCAATACTTTCCTCATACCCGAGGATCCCAAGAGTGTCCAGATTGTGGACATCGCTAGCATCATTTCATCGAATGAAGATGTATTGAGCAAGATTCCCCGCGCCCTCTCGGATAAGGGAGCTATGGAGAGCCCTCATATGATAGTCGTCGGCAATTTCGAGTCAGAAACGGGTGTGAAACTGCTTGCCGATGCCCTCAATCTTCGAAAGGAGAACGGTGACGTGGAGATTCTGATGCTACACAATGCGGCGTCGGACGCTGATGATGATGTCCCAAAGAATCTCGTCGCTCTCTATCTCTCGCTTGCCAAAGGGGAGACTATTGACCGAGTACTGGCTAAGATTGCATCCGGTGATCTCGATTCTGAAGTGCTAGAGATTGAATCCCAAGAGGTCTCTGCCATTCAAGCTTTGCACCAGACTCTGACCAAAGAACTTGGATTCAACCCTGGCACTGAGGGACTTGTTGTCAATGGGAGGGCAGTCGGCCCTATTGAGAAGGAAAACCCGTTAAGTATGGAAGAAATGAGCCAACTGATCGCCTACGAAAGGGTGAAACGCCTGGATCCCGTTGCGACGGCTGTTGGCGAACTCGGATTCGCCGATAAGATCTCAAACCCGCTCGATTTTGCCAAATTAACCTCGCTCGTGGCTCTTTCCACCATCTCGGATGTTCCTGAGGGTATCTTCGAAAACACTCCTGATTTCAGAATGGACGTGTCCGGTACATGGAGAACAGAGCACTCTGTTATCACGGTCTCTAACTCCGACGATCCCACGATCCAAGTCGGCGTCAGCCTTGACCCGGCATCCGAGGTTGCTCAGCGATGGTTGCCGATTCTGAAGGTCCTCTCCGAACTCTCCGGCGTTCAGCTGAAGATTTTCTTGAATCCGAAGGAAGAGCTCACGGAGCTGCCAGTCAAGCGATTCTACCGCTATGTCTTGGAATCTGAGCCATCCTTCACGGACGAGGGGACTCTGGCTCGGCCGCAAGCATCCTTCAGGGGCGTGCCAGTCGAGGCACTGCTGACCCTAGGCATGGACGTGCCGTCATCTTGGCTAGTAGCACCTAGTGAATCAGTCTACGATTTGGATAACATTAAGTTGAGCTCGGTCAAGTCTAGTACTGGCGTTGACGCCATCTACGCTCTCGAGCACATTCTGATCGAGGGGCACTCTCGTGATCTTACAACGAAGACGCCCCCCAGAGGCGTCCAGCTTATTTTGGGCACCGAGAACAACTATTATTTCGCTGATACCATCATCATGGCTAACCTGGGATACTTCCAGTTCAAAGCACAGCCAGGCTTGTGGCAGATCAACTTGAAGCCCGGCCGGAGCGAGAAGATCTTCAAGATAGATAGCGTCGGTGGTCTAGGATACCGCCCGCAGACCGGCGACGAGAACAACGAGGTTGCTCTGCTGTCGTTCCATGGTCGGACGCTGTTCCCTCGCCTGTCGCGCAAGCCAGGCCACGAGGAGGAAGATGTTCTCGAGACAGGAGTCCAGCCAGGCTCAAAGATGGACTATTTCGCCAAAGGCCTCAAGTTTGCATCCGGCGTCCTCTCCAGTGTTGGCGTCGGGTCCAAGAGCGGAGGCGAGCAACACGCCGATATCAACATCTTCTCAGTAGCAAGTGGACATCTCTATGAACGCATGTTGAACATCATGATGGTCTCCGTGATGCGACACACCAAACACACCGTCAAATTCTGGTTCATCGAGCAATTCCTCTCCCCCTCCTTCCGCGCCTTCCTCCCCTCCCTCGCCCGCGAATACGGCTTCTCCTACGAGATGGTAACATACAAATGGCCACACTGGCTGCGCGCCCAGAAAGAAAAGCAACGCGAGATCTGGGGATACAAGATGCTCTTCCTGGACGTGCTCTTCCCCCTCTCCCTGGACAAAGTAATCTTCGTCGATGCGGATCAGATTGTGCGCACAGACATGTACGAGCTAGTCACGCACGACCTCCAGGAAGCGCCCTACGGCTTCACGCCGATGGGCGACTCTCGAACCGAAATGGAAGGCTTCCGCTTCTGGAAACAGGGCTACTGGTCCACCTTCCTCCGCGGCAAGCCCTACCACATCTCGGCGCTGTACGTCGTGGACTTGAACCGCTTCCGCGCGCTTGCCGCCGGCGACCGTCTGCGCGGCCAATACCAGATGCTCTCTTCTGATCCGAACAGTCTCAGCAATCTCGACCAGGATCTGCCTAATCACATGCAACATCACATTCCCATCCATAGTCTGCCGCAGGAGTGGCTGTGGTGTGAGACGTGGTGTTCCGATGAGGATTTGGAGGGAGCGAAGACTATTGACCTTTGTAATAATCCTCTTACCAAGGAGCCTAAGTTAGAGAGGGCTAGGAGGCAGGTTCCTGAGTGGACGGTCTATGATGATGAGATTGAGGCCTTGGCGAGTCGCGTCGCTGGCGAGCAGGTTGCTGCTGGGGTTGAGTTTGTGCAGACTGGCGAGGACCGCAAAGATGAATTATAGTTGACCCGGTGGGTTTCATTCGAGAAAGCGATTGCATATGATTATACCTATTGCATTTATGGGGTTGAATAGGGTATCTCCTTTGCATTTTTTTTTTATGGAAATCTTCTTCTACTGCTCGCTCTCATAAGAATTGATTTTAGCAGACAAGGGTATGATGTAGAAAGCAAAAAACAGTAAAGGCAAACTCTTCGTTTCATCAACGTTCACAGCTCATCCGAGTCAGTCTCGAACTTGACGTTGACTTCGCTGCTGTCGTCATCTCCGCCGTCCGAGTCAGATCCATCAACGACAGCGTCATGTCCAGTGGCAGATCTGTGAGAAGCAGGTGATGCGGGCGGTGGAGATTCTTGGATAACAGAACGAGAGGGTTCCGCCAAAGGGGCAGGGCTGTCAAGTGAAGCTTGTTTCTGCTTCTTAGACTTCTTCGTCTTTTTAGGAGGCTCAGGGATATCAACATCGCTGCTAGGTGCCTCATTGGCCTCCTCGGCAGCGAGACGTTTCTCTTCTTCGAGCTTCTTTCGCTTCTTCTTCTTCTCCTCTTTCCTCTTCCGCTTGCTCTCCTTGCGTGCGGCCTTGTCCTCCTGGACTTCTCGCTCAATCTGCTGTTGCCTCTCTTTCTCTTGCCGCTCCTTCTTCTCGCGCTTCCTCTCTTCCTTGCTCTTTTTAGGAGCGGCGGGAGACGACGGCGTTTCATTGATGAGACCGAAGGCGGGGTCTTCATTGTGCTTGCGCTTGGACTTTGACTTCTTAGCCCGCTTGGGGGACTCGGGCAATCCGGGCTCACCCTCGGACTGCGCTTCCTGGCCGGGGTCCGCGTTGCCATTGCCATTGGCAATGGGAGATGGTGCTGCCTCATCATCGTTGTCTAGGTTTGTGGTGCTAGTTTTCGTGGCTTCATCGTTATCGGAATCCTCATTCACGAATTGAGAGCTCTTCCTTTGCGCCTCCAGTCTCATGTTCCAGTGGGCACTTCTCTTAGCAGCGAGTTTGGGATCGAACACCGCGCCTGGCTGGCCATTGGCTCGCAAGGTCATGACCTGCTTCACGATCTTGCGCCACTTGTCTGCGCATTGTTGTCGAGACCGCATATGACCCATCTCCTTGCTTATGTTACCCCATACAATGAGACGCTCATCCAGCTCGTACATGTCATTGCCTGCCTTATCTGCAAGCATTGGCTTCATCGTGGCCCACGTTGATTCCACGGCGTCAAGGAAAATCTTGGTCTCCTCCTCCGACCACGCGCCTTGATTCATGGTACCCTGGTGCTCTAGCTTGTTCTTCCATCGCTGAGTGACATCGTCATCACTGCGCCCAATGAGCTTACCAATGAAAGTCCATTTCGGACCGTATTTGGCGTGAAGCTCGATAAGCTCGTCGTCTTGTTCTTTCGACCAATCGTGTGCCTTTTGAGCCGAAGCTTGGAAGTGTCGGCGCATGAATCGGTACACAGATCGCCGATCACGGTCTGGAACAAGAGCGTAGATCTCGTTCCAAAAGTCGCTTTTTGAAATGACCCCCGAGGAAACTGGGAATTCACCGTTTGCGCCACGCTCAGAATGCTGAACCATCTCGTCAAATCTGACACTAGAAATACCATGCATGGTGCAAAAATTGACTTTGTACGCTTCGATTTTTCGCACTTCATCCGGCGTATAGAAGCCAATTTTCAGGCTGTCCTTCTCCCTGGTACGTGAGCCTCTAACTCCCTTGGTCCTGCCTCCTGGGGGGGTGCTACCCTCGGGGTTGGGTGAGTCAGGGACTGGGGTTTGCTTGTTGACAGCCACCTGCTTTACAGCGAGCGGTTCTTCTGTAGCCGCTAAGCCGGGCGTAGGTTGAGAAGTGGACGAAGCGAAGATTTTCAAGTCTTCGCCATTCTGTTTGCGAACCTTCTTCGCCGAAGGCCCGGGGGTTGACAGAGTGGGAGTGGGCGGAACTTGAACAGCAGTTGCAGAAGGGGGTGGGTTGTTTTCTGGTGAAGCTGACTCGGCAACAGACTTTTCCGATTTGCGATGCTTCTTCGTCTTTTTCTTACGGTCATGTTCAGACTCGCGCTTCCGCTTTGAAGTATTCGACATGTTGGTGTCTAACCTTGGGGAGCGCTTCGCACCACTGGATTCCGCAATTGCTGGCGATAAAGCCTTGGATTCTGAGGAGAGTGATTTGTTTTTATTTTTCTTCCTTCCATCGACCATTGAAGAATTCGGGGTTTCAGGAACTTCCAGATTGCAGATGTTAGTATCGAATCGCGCGGAGATCAAGTGTTTTCACCAACCGATATCTCCAAAATCCTCAGGGATTTCGGGGAATGGTTCAGGCTGAGACGATGTATTTCCCATGGCAATGAGCTGCGACAATCAGTAGGGAGGGGAGGAGTAGAGGACGCGATAAAAAAAGGAGAGACCGAGGCTCCTCAAAATTTACTGCCCACGAAGCGTGGAATCTGGCAATTTGGGTTCACCGCCTCGTGTGACCGCCTATGCGGGGCCAATCGAGTCTATATCAATGGCTATTGTAATCGAGGACCTATGAATTCCCTTTTGCGGTTAGTCCTGCCGTTTCCGGCATAGCTTCCCGATACGCCGTATGTCATCATCGCGCGCCAGGACCTCCAAGTATATGAGACCTGTCCCCTCGCTGTGGCTAGAAGGTTGGCAGGGCAAGACCCTTGAGGATATCCCTGATGACGACCTTTCAGAGTAACATGTACTGTACTGCAAATGATAATCCAGGCCCTATCTCGAATGTCATACTTGATCGGGGCCGACTTAAAGCGCAGAGGCACGAATGATCAAGAGGGTCGACTATTCCTAACCAGTCAATCCGTAACTATAAACTTCCTGAAATCTCAGAGTGCTCGCTCTCCCAGGAAATTATTTGTCTAGCTGCTCTTTTATCTGCACTTATTTGGATAGTGGTCGCACAGCTATGTCTGGATCATCTCAAAGATCTGACACATTCCCATCTGCGAACACAACACAAATCCCAATCAGACATATCCAAATAATTCCCCGACTTCCCGCTGCGTGCGAGATTCCAATCAATGTAGATCGCATCTTCCCAGACGTCTTTCTCCTTCGCAGGCTGGCAATACTCCCAGTCAATCAAGTAGCTATCATGTAAGAACCGGGTTGAAAATCTGCATGAATAAAGGCGGGGTGAAATCTGGGATGTAGGACAGCGTTGACCATTTATGATCCTTCTTGTCCCAGTAGGTTGTGTAATGCATTATCATTGTACCTCATCCCGCAGTTAATGGCCTCGCTAGTAATAAAATCAGTCTTGTTTATTATCCATGGAAGGGAGGACGCACAGCCATGCTATCTTGAAGGCCGCCCGCAGAGCTTCCCGTTCAGCACGCTCCATTTGACGACTAATGAACAAGTCGGATGGGTCGGACCCTGGGAGTCGCTCCATCAGGATAGACAACTTATATCCACCCGGGACCCATTCATCGACATTCTGCTGCTCCTCCTTCCAGTCGATGAGAGAAGGGGTGCAGGAACACTGGTCCTTTGTTAGACTGGATAGGGCGTCAACTTCCGTTTGAAAATTTCGGCGGAGTTTTGAAGAAGCCTGCTGCGCACGGATAGCCGGTTTTTTTTGTGGCTGTTCCAACCCATGGAATCCTGATTATCGATGTTAGTGTGTATGTTCTGGATGATGGCATTCTGTGGCTGAGAGACACTAACTGCAGGCGAATCTTGAGTATGGCAGTGGATGGAGATGGACCGTCGCCGGATACCTTGGAGCAGGAAAACACCCCGTGCCTCAGACTGGATGCCCAGGGTCTCGTAATATTCGTGCTCCCCGATCTCGGTGTCTAGGACCCATACCGAAACGGAGGCGAGAGAAACTTTGTGCCAATATACTCATCGTCTTCGAACCAGGTAATATTTGATTTAAGCAACATGTTGAAATAAAATGACACGAGACTTGGTATGGCTCGGCGAACAAGGGGATAAGGCTTTCACATATACCACAGTCCCTACCGCAACGTGAAATCCCGGCCCACCTGATTGATGTTCTAAGTTGGACGCGTCAGTGTCCGACCTATTACAGCTTTTGTTTTTAGGAGCAAATCTGAATTATCGAAAACTTCCATACAATGGCCATTACTACAGAGGGACTGATGCATCCTATACAGTACTGCATAGCTAATGTATTCAGGAACTAGCATTTACTCAACAAAGTGCTGGCAGGTATCATGCTCATGATTGAATTGATAGTGTACATGCTGGCATAAGGAACATAAAAAGTAACTGCAAGTCATAAAACCCATACTTCGAGGTCCTACAGATACAGTCACGACACAAGCTTCATATCCCTTAGGATTTTCATCACTAGTTTCTTTTGGTCATGAGGGTGAAGATTTTGCCGATCTGTCTCCTGTAGACAGCGCCCAACTGCGACAGTGACCTTGACAGCACTTTCTGCGGCATTGGAGCAGTCCACCCACACCTTTCCATTGCGGCCAACTGCAATCTCAAATCCTCCCAAGCTCTCAAGCTTCTTTCCAAGTTCAGAAAGAACAACCAGCCCTTCAATTGCATCTGTGTTCTCAGAAGAAGAAGAGCTTGCCCGGATCAACCGGGCCGCCATACCAGTCGAAACATCGAATACCATTCCACCCGTCAGGGGTCCCAATCCTCCATCAGCCTTGCCAGTTGCTGGGTTGACACAGGTGAGTTCAACTTCGGCGCCGGCGCCGACTCCCACGGACTGTACTCTGGCATACACCAGCTCACCTTGCTTCAACATTGGCCTTGTCTTCTTGGATGCGCCCTCAAAGGACAGCTGGCCGAGAAGCGCGTGGGCCGTGTGTGGGGTTACCATGCAGTGAAAGAAATCAAGGCTGGAGTGGTGGATCTGAGCAATGACGAAGTCGTTGACAGTGGGAATGTATCGGCGGTTCGGGAAAGAAAGGAGCGAGACAGTGTTTCGTTTCGCATCGGTCGTCAACATACCAGCTTGTGTTGCTGTTAAGACATGACTGAATCCCTTTGAAGAGGGCTGTGATAGGATGCGGAGGCCGGGGCCTAGTCGTAGAGGGTTGTAGTTGTTGGTAGGAAGATGACCTTGAGGTACCTCATCGCTAGGTAATAGGACAAGCGGGGCACTCATGATGCCAGACTGGATAGCTGTATTCTGATAATAGCCAAGCGTAGAAGACTCTGAGGTAAGAGATTCAATGCTTTATTGCTGGATTTCTTTTGTGTAAAGAGATTGTCTACTTTCGCGCATTGATTCTTGGAAACATCGAAGAAAACGACGTTTCTTATCACCACGTGACCTCATTGAATGTACATGGACTGACCAAGCTCCATCCAACTTGGGTAGCACTTCACTTAGGAATAATCTTGGAGAAATGAATAAATTGAGTGCTCTGAGCTGCTACAAAATTTCGATTACTCGTGCCCAACCTTTTCAAATGCTAGGGCTATATCTGCCATGGAGAACTGTCCGCATACGAAGCGTGGCGGTGCCCTATCAACCTTGCCACAACCATTATCGATAAGCACCAGCCACATTTGCGGCAGACGAAAATCTTCGAAATCTTTTTCGATCGTTCCCCCTCATTCGAGATTTCCACCAATTACCTCCGATCCCCCCGGAATCTACTTTCACGCCATAACGTGAGACGGTTATTCTTTTAATCCAAAAGAACTTTGCACATTTACAACTTCGACATGGGTGACGCTGCCAACAGTGCCCCCGCTGAGGCGGAACGCTTTGCTATCGGTATCTCGTTTGGTAACTCATGCAGTTCAATTGCCCGCATCTCGCCTGTACGTCCTGATATATACATTCTTCGGGTTAAAGAACGGTGACTGACTAATTTATAGGAGGGCAAGGCTGAGGTTATTGCCAACGAGGAAGGAGGTGAGGACAATAAAGCCCCACGAATTTGAGAACTCGAATTAACATACTCAGATCGTCAAATTCCTTCCATCCTTTCTTATATCGAGGGCGAGGAGTACCACGGCACCCAAGCCAAGGCCCAGCTTGTTCGCAACTCGGCCAACACTGTCGCATACTTCCGCGATTTCGTCGGCAAGGAATTCAAGTCGATCGACCCTACTCCCTGTCACCAGTCGGCCCACCCTCAGCAGAAGGACTCCACTGTCGCTTTCACCATCCGTGATACTGAGAGCGAGACCCCCAACACCGTCACTGTCTCCGAGATCACCACCCGTCATTTCCAGCGTCTTAGACGCTCCGCGTCTGACTACCTTGGTAAGGATGTCAACGCCGCCGTTATCACTCTCCCCACCGATTTCAACGATGCCCAGCGTGAGGCCCTTATTGCCTCCGCCAAGGCTGCTGGTCTCGACGTTCTTCAGCTGATACACGAACCCGTTGCCGCTGTTATGGCCTATGATGCCCGCCCCGAGGCGACTGTTACCGACAAGCTGGTTGTCGTTGCTGACTTCGGTGGCACCCGCTCCGATGTTGCCGTTGTTGCCTGCCGCGGTGGCATGTACACTATTTTGGCCACTGCCCACGACTACGAGCTTGGCGGTGCCTCCCTGGATCAGATCATCATTGACCACTTCGCCAAGGAGTTCATGAAGAAGCACAAGACCGACCCCCGCGAGAACGCTCGTGGTCTGGCCAAGCTGAAGCTCGAGTGTGAGGCCACCCGTAAGGCCCTCAGCCTGAGCAGCAACGCTCAGCTGAGCATTGAGTCCCTGGTCGACGGTGTTGACTACGGTTCCACCATTAACCGCACCCGCTTCGAGCTCCTCGCCGGCAAGGTCTTCAGCCAGTTCACTGGTCTGATCCAGCAGGTCGTTAAGAAGGCCGAGCTCGATGTCCTTGACATCGATGAGGTGATCTTCTCTGGCGGTGTTTCCCACACCCCCAAGCTCGCCAATCTCACCAGCAACATCTTCCCCGAGAAGACCAAAATCCTGGCTCCCGCCACCTCTGTCACTGCCGTTAACCCCTCTGAGCTGTCTGCCCGTGGTGCTGCCTTCCAGGCTTCTCTGGTCCAGGAATTCGAGCACGAGGACATTGAGCAGTCCATTCACCCTATGGTTACCGTCGCCCCTCACCTGGGCAAGGCTATTGGCGTCGAGTTCACCTCCCAGACCGACACTACCTTCCAGCCCCTCCTCAGCGCCGAGACCGCCCTTCCCGCCCGGCGCATCGCTCAATACTTCGCTCCCAAGGAGGGTGGCGATGTCCTGGT